TTTCTTGATCATTCTATACAGCCAGGATACTGGGAAGAGTGACTGACTAGCTTGATTTTAATACACACTTACAAAGACACACACAGGAAAAGATGCTTTCTGAAGAATTTGCTATGAAGGCTCAGTAACTTTTTAAAGTGCATTTGCCAAGATCAGCAGTCAGTGTCAGTGGCTTGGTTTGTTTGGATTCTTTTCAGGACTGCAAGGCTATCTGACATAGAGCAGCTTGAGTCTTGTCCTTTAAGGTTACCCAGTAAGTTTAAAAAAGGATATAAATCAAAAACTTGTTATGTATAGAGAAAATGGTACTGGGATAGAGGACAGAATTAGTTCCTCTTCTATTACCTGTGTACAGAAATGATTATATTATTGTATATATTATATTATATATTAAACTTCCAATAAGCTCACTAACTTGAAGGTAGAAAACAGATTACTTAGTATTTATTGTTCATGCTATTGTCATCTATAATTTGATATTGGGATATGTTTTTTAATTCTAGTGACTTCAGAATGCACATCTTTCAACTTTTCTAATATTTGATGAAACAATCTTATATTGTATTATTAGGATTCCATGCAGTTAGCCTTTATATGTGTACCAGTACTATCAGAATAAAGAATAAAAACTTCCTTATAAATATATTTCAGGAAACCTGCTTTCAATTGGACTGTGTCAATGAAGAGCACTAGGACACATTTTGTGGGGGGTTTTTTCATTGTTGTTGTTGTTGTTTTGGTACCAAGGATCGAACTCTGGCCCTAGCACTTGTGAAACAGGCGATGGAACCACTGAGCCAAATCCCTAGCCCTCATTGTGTGTTTTCTGTATTGTAATAACCTAAGTAATCAACTATTAGCAAATCCCATTTAGCTAGGATTAACACTGCAAAGAATAGATAATACAGCAGATTTCTAGAAATTCCTTCACATTTATGAACTTTTAAAATGAGGGCTAGGGATCAGCTCAGTGGTTCCACTGCCTGCCTTGCAAGCACAAGGACCTGAGTTCAATCCCTGGTATACCCCCAAAAAAAAGGTAGCCTTTTGTTCTTCATAAGCACATTCTCATCCCCATATTAATTACAGCATGTAAAATTATGAAATGGAAAAATACAAGCTACAAAACAAAATATTTTCTTGACAATATTATTTAATATTTAAATAGATAGGATCTAACTCTTTTTGGTTGTTTGGCCTGAGTGGGAATTGAGTTTGGAAGCTGGTAATCCTGGGTGTTGCTATGTAGGTTTTATTTTGAAAGTTCTTTACCACCTGTGTGGGTGACTCAGCCAGATGCCACAGTTCTCCAGAGTTAATTAAAATATAATCAAGTTAGTCTTAGAACTCATTGAATGTAGACTCTGAGTTCACTCAATTTAAAATAGAGCCGGGCATGGTGGCTCAAGCCTGTAATCCCAGCACTTGGGAGGCTGAGGCAGGAGGATCACTGTGAGTTCGAGACCAGCCTGGGCTACATAGTGAGTTCCAGGTCAGTTTCAACTACATAGTGAGACCCTGTCTCAAAAAACAAACAAACAAACAAAAAATTTAAAATAGAAAATTTTAAAGACTTATAAACCATTTTGGAGAAATGAGTGCTAGCTTCCAGGAGAGTTTTTCAATTATTTCTAGTTATTTCTAGGTGGATATATACTTTTTGCTGATCTCTGCTTTAATATATTTCCCAGTCATTTTTATTAGAGAAAATACTGTATATATGAACTAAGACATTTTCTTTCTGGGCCAGGTTTTCATGCTGTGTAACCCTTTGGATACTTCTGGCTAGTCTGTGTTCCTATGACAGGAGCCTAGATTTGTAATAGAGAACTTGTGGTGTTGTAACTGAAGTTCACCCTGTCCACACCAGTAAGCTGGCTTCACAGAGGGTAGTAGCAAAAGACAGAAGAATGGGATAGATTTTATTTCTACAGTAGCTAAATTTTCCAACTATAATTTTACAAACTACACTACACTGCTGTAGCTAATTGGATACAAATGTCCTCAAAGAGTACTTTATCTTATTTAAAGCATCTGTTTAATTCAATCTTTAATGATTTCGCTAATAAGGGTATGTGTATAATTTTAACAGAGCCTGACCTGAATTTATTTTTTTTTAGCTTTAGTTTTTGTCGTTTTTTTTTTTTAATCAGGGATCGAACTTGGGACCTTGCGTTTGCGAGGCATGTGGCAGAACCAATGAGCTAAATCCCTGGCCCTAGTTTTAGCATTTAACACCTTGTAACAAATAAACTTTTTTTAAAACAAAAAAAAAAAAATTCCTTGCAAGCGCAAGGACCTGAGTTCAATCCCCGGTACCAAAAAAAAAAAAAAAAAAAAAAAAAATATGAAGATCAAACACAAGAAGACAATTCTAAAAGCTTCCAGAGAGAAAGAGCAAGTCCCCCAAATGAGCATGGTCAATACTCAGGAGAAACAACAGATGCAGGGACACAATACGGTATTTTTAAAAGTGCCAAAACCAGAATTTTTATTACCCAGGAAAATAATCATGGAAACTTGAGGGTTTAACAAAGATAGTCTCAGAAACACCAGGTTTAAAAAGCATTCCCAGGTGAGGACTCGGCTGAAAGCCCTCATAGTGGAAGGTGCTCAAAATCAAGAGAAAGAGACCATACATCAGACATGGAAGTCACTGCAACCATATACTTTAAACTTTACTGTTGTTAAAAAAAAAACTACAGATAAAATAACCCAGTACTAAAAATCTAGACAATATAAACCAAAAGATTAAAAAAACTAAACAAACCTCAAGTATAAGAAATAAATACTACCAGACACATAAGAAATAAACCACTCAAAACCAGCGTGTCTTAGTCTGCTCAGTCTGTGACAAAGCACCAAAGATTGGCTTAAACCACAGAAATTTATTTTCTCAATGTCCTAGAGGGTAGAAATCCAAAACTATGGTGCTAGCATGGTTGGTTTTGGGTGAGGGCTATCTTTCTTGCTGTAGTAGCTGCCTTTTCCCGGTGACCTCAACTGGCGGGCAGGTGGTGAGGTTCTCTCCAAGCCCAACATAAGGACTCCACTTTCATACCCTAATCTAACCCAATTACCTTCCAAAGGCCTCTACTACAAATACCATTCCTTGGAGGTTAAGGGCTTCAACCTATGAACTTGGGGATACACAATTCGGTCCACTGTGTTAAGGAGAAAGATCTTAAGCACATTACATACAAAGGAACACAGATGAGAAACAAGGTTGAGAACCAAACTACTGACTTCAACCTTAAGAGAACACGGTTGCCTCCGAGATCAATGGACACAGAGTACAGCAAGGGATGCACACACACCTATGTGCAATTTTTTTAGACAAAAGTGTGAGGAGAGTTCACTGGAGAAAGCATAGTGTTCTTAATAAATGGTGCAGGAACGATTAGGTAAATAAACTGACCCATAACCTGCATTCATAATAAAACTAAAAAATGGATAGACCTCAAGTTAAAACCTGAAACTACAAAACTTCTATAAGAAAATATAAGAGAAAACTTGGGTTAGACAAAGATTTCTTAGACACAAGACCAAAGCATTATAACTCAAAAAAACTGATCTTAGACATCAAAATTAAAAATTGCTTTTCAAAAGATACTTCAAGGAAATGCAAAGACAAACCACACAGCAGCTTGAAAGAAAATACTGACAAATCTTATTTACAATAAAAGACTTGTATTAAGAAGACAAAGAATCAGAACCCACTACATGGTTCACAAGGGCAGAAACCAGTTTATTAACACTGATTACATGGAAGTATTGGGATGCAAGGGTGGTGGAGGAAGGGTACCTTGCACACAGTCTCATTCATGGGTGCATCCTGGGCTCCAGAAGCTGCTAAGCATGACCATCTTAGGGTTCGTAGATATTAGATAGCTTTCACCTTTGTGCCTAAGCTTCGTATAATATTTTACATATATTGGACAGTAAAAGTGTACAATATTATAAAAAGTTAAAAAAGAAACTTTCAGTGTGGTTGCTTTTTACAAGTACATATCAAATTGGTAAGAAATTCCTAGTCAAATATATCTTAGACCATTTATTCATATTCCCATGCTGAAGAAAAACACTTAAAATCTTAATGTTCTTTTTTGGTATTCTTCAAACACCACTTCATTATATTGAAAGCTTTCCTGAGAAGGACATAAATGTAAAAGAAACATACAATCACACAGTATGAAAATGTTGCTAAACAGGTGAAGTGCTGAAAAGCTATCAGTTTGTAAATAATAATTGAAAGCAGTTTTTTCAGTGGTCATTCTGATAATCTAAAATTAAAGAAAAATTTAAATATTTCTTTTTTTTTTTTTTTTTGGTACCGGGGATTGAACTCGGGTCCCTGCGCTTGCAAGGCAGGCCACCGAACCGCTGAGCTAAATCCCCGGCCCCAAATTTAAATATTTCTAAAAGCACTGACAGTGGCAGAAATCAAATCAAAAGGAAACTCCCAAGATCACAGATCACAAAGTAACGAAATACTACGAAAGGTAGCAGCAAAGCTGCTCCATAATGCACAGAAACTGCGACAGCAGAGCCAAACCTCTGTAGATGTGGACACAGCTGAGTACACAGACGATTCTGTAACAGTGGAAGAAAGATTTCTCCAGAGTTTTGTAAGCCTCCTCTAAGAAAACCAGCAGGTAAGAGATATAATATACTAAACAGACTGGTTAGGTGAAGGTTAAACTTCTTTCTTTTTGAGACAGGATCTTGCTATATAGTTCAGGCTGGCCTTGAACTCACTATGTAGCCCAAGCTGTCCCTGAATTTGCAGCAATCCTCCTGCCTCAGCCTCCTGAGGTACTAGGATTATAGGTACTAAGATTATAGGTACCACCACACCCAGCTAAACTCTTCTTGAGCAACATGATGTAAATCACTGCTTAAGTGAAAATAGTTCCTTTGGCAAAGAAAAACTAACAGCCTCAGTGGCAGGAATACAAGTGTCCAGTGGGCCCTGTTCTCAGTCCTGGCTGTAAGCTTACCTGAGCGGAAGCGCTCGTCCCTGGAATTGGTTGCCCGGGACTTCTGCGCTTTGGGTGCAGCAGTGGTCAGGGAAGGCCCTGGGAGTCGATTCTCTGCTTGCAGGCATGGGTCTACTCCTGAAACATATTTTTTGAGTATTTTCTGTGAACAATTTGTTTCCAAGTTATGAAAAACTCCATTTAAAACATGTTTCCTTTATGTGGCCACACGGTGTATGCTGCACCAACACAGCATGGCCCTCGAAGCACAAAAGAGCCTTGGCCTGGGTTCAGGGCAGTGTCCAGGTCCTGGGCTATATAGCGAGTGCAAGGCCAACCTGAACTATATAGCAACACCTTGTCTCAAAAAAAAAAAAAAAAAAAAAAAGCACCAAGTACCAAAATCAACAAATTTCAAAGAAATGAGTACCAAGGTATAACTGTATAAGTAAATGGACATCCTCATATGCCAAAATATACATGATTTAATTCTTTGAGACCGATTTGCTTAATCAACAAACATACAAACAAAAGCCAATCTGAAATTATTGGGTGAAAGAGAAGATGTATGTTTAATTATAACAAATATCAAGAGATAACTTTCAAAAAGGTTATAGCAATTCACACTCCCACAGCAATATATGAAAGTACCACTTCCCCACATCTTTTGTCAGCAATGGGTGTTATAAAAAAAAAAAAAAAAAAAAAAAAAAAGAAATTTTCCCAATCTGGTAAAAGAAAAATGGCTCTCTTTAATCTACATTTCTCTATCTATAGTGAGGTTGAAGTAATTTTTATTGACCATCTGCATTTCCTCTCCTTTGAATTTCTATTCACTTTTCCCAGCTAATGAGCCCCTCCTAAGGAGGAAAGTCTTCTGCTGAGACACACTGGACCATCAGCTCAGAGCTGTGCCCTGGCTGGCTGTCTGGGAGGCCAATCACTCTTGTCTGTCTGTCCTAGTTACTTTTCTTGTGGCTGAGACAAAATACCCAACACCCAAAGTTAAAGGAGGAAAGGTTTCAGTTCATACTTGGCTGGCTCCAGGACAGAGGGGCAGAGGAGCATCACAGAGAAAGAAGCAAGCAACAAGCAAAAACCACAGCAGCTCTTTCTGTTCCTTATATCTTATCCAGGTTACGGTGGGTAGCACTCACACCCTTAATCCAGTCATCACACTGTAAATCAATCCCAGCCTCACAGCCTTGATCCAGACCCAGCCATCTCCAAAAAGTCCCACCTATGACCACATGAGGCTTTAGGGGTACATCTAAATACAAGACATAGCACTCACTGTCTTTTCCTTTGAACTTCTAGGTCTCCAAACTTGCCTGTGAAGACAACACTCCAAAGGTTTTTCAAATATTCTCTTCAATTTAGTAATTATTATAATTGAAGGCATATTTAGAGCTTTGATCCTTCTGAGATTTATGCTCAGAAATGTTGGAGAGGAAGAGGGTTCTTGCCTCCAGAAAGGCATCACCAGCAATTAAATAAATCCTCCCTCTGTCCTCTCCAATCATTGCTGGCCCTCCTCTTCCACTGAGAGGGTCATCTCTGCACACTGACAGCTGCTTGTGATTACATGGGAACCCACATTCTCAGGCTTAATATCTCAGATTGGTCCTTTCACACTATATATATATATA